TCAGGACTTGTGTCATCACCTGGGTCACCTGCTGGTGGCACTGTGCTTCCCAGAGTCAAAGGGCGCAGTTCTAGTGGTCACCAGTGGGTGTCTTCCAGCAGCTGGACTGTCCGAGTAATTAGGCTGCACCTGACGTGGACTGTTGGGAGGTATATAATCCTGCCCATAACTGAGGTTCAGTCCTTCAGTATTCTTCCTGCAAGCCTTGTCCCTGCCTGAGCTTGATCCTTGTTTCTGATCCTTGTGCCTGACTCTGAGACCTGCTCCTGTGACTTGCTCCCTGCCCTGCTCCCAGTACCTGGCTCCCTGCTCCCCTTGTCTACTATCCCTGTCCTGATCTTGTCCTACTCATATGTGTTCCCTCCATTTTGTATTTAGTTAGGCTATTATTTGGGGTTTTTGCACTGTCACGTTTATTTATCACTTGCATTGTTTATGATTTACTGATGTTGGTGTTGGTAGTACGTCATTTCCTTAGTCAGTCCGATTCCTAATTCATTAAGGTACAGCTCACTGATCTGATCACCCTTGCTAGATGCCTGTGGTATCCCTGACACACTGTCAAACTAATTATCCCTAGTGCTAATAAATAGATTAATTCCCTTGTCTCCTCTGCAGAGAATTCTGCCCTTCACAGGACTAACTTTAATGATTATTGTATTTAGTGTTTGATCAGATAGGTTTTGGTGTGGCTACCACAAACCTGAAACATGTTTGGGTGTGAATTGGAAGAACTAATTTTCATCCTGCTTGTCCTGATGTCCTTGTACACTAATGTTTGCTACAATATATACTCACCCTGCCTATCCCTGTTATATAGGTGTTCTGGATCACCCCACTCTTCCATTAAGGGGATTTTTGGATACTACCCTTCCTTTTTCCAGCTTAAGGCTTTTCTTCCATCTCTCTATATAGGTTTGCTGCTGAGAGGGTTGCCATATCATTCATATTATAGATCTCCCTTGAGTCAAGGGTTAAGGATGTTATATTTAAGTCTCCAGCTGCTAATTGGTTGGTATTTTGCTCTGGACATACTTTGTTTTCCCAACCTATCTTTCCACAAATCCTTGGCTTTGGCCTTTTCTCTAGTAAATATTATGTTTTTAACTACCTTATTTATTGGCACAATGACCCAAGATTTTCTCAAAAACTAAGGCATGACGGTTGGAGGTGGGGTTATATAACTTAACATAAAATCTGTTTCTTGGAGTGTGTTTTTTGGAGTGTTTCTTGGAGTGTGTTTCTGATCTACTCCCAATGCTGCTTTTCAAAAAAAAAAATCTGAAGCATGATGGCAGTGGGAGGGGTTATACCTGGCTGATCAACAGCTTTTTTTGTTTGCCAGTGTCCAAGCCTCCTGAAGGTGGCACTATAACCTAAATGTCTAAGAATTGCTATATATCCATGTCCCTCAGAAATTTTACAGTAGTACAAAAATCTTATATTAATGTTTTCTGTGTTTAATATTATATGTTCAAATATTTTTAAGAGCAAGTGCTAGATGTTTTATGCACTCCTGTCCATTATATTTTCTAAATATCTTATCCCCTGCCCCCCTTATTAGCTGTCACTATACTAATAAAAGGATTGTTGCACAACTCCTTGAAAGCTTTCCATTACTTTTGTTATTAATTATGCTTTATCACATAATTCAAGTTATCATTTACATTATCACCACCAGTGAAAAATATCTGCATCGTAAAAATGTTCAGAATGTAAATGTCTGTACAATGTACGATGTAATCAAATATCAATTAAATATGTGAAAATTGTGCATTCATAACAAATTTGAAATTTTTAAATCTCCTAATTCCTTAACCAAACAGGAGGAAAGTCTCTCTGACATTGAAAAGGATACATTTGAAATTTGTGATAAATGTTTTTCACATTAAAGCCCAGTACATGACAATATTTTTTTTTCACTGATGATTCATTGATTCTCTTATCCTGGTGATGTCTGACTTTCCACACAGAAATGGTACTTTCATCAGGGACTGATTTCTTACTGAGTCCCAAAACTATTTTACTGAACTCAAGGCCTAATTGGAAAGGTGGGATATATGGACCCATGAATTGTGTTGGCTGTTGTCCTTTCTGTAGACATCTACTGAACCAATAAATAATTTTTGGATTTTTTAATCACTTGTTATGCACTCTTTCTGGTGCAATGATATATAGACTATTCAGTTTGGGGGAGCCATTTTTTGAGAAGCCCCACGCTTTTTGAATAGCCACTGAACCCAAGATATTTGGCTCCACTAAAGACTTAATTTCTTTTGATAGAGAATACATATTCAACACCTCGCCCCTGCCTTATCTTGGAAAAAAATTTTAAGCCTGGACTGGGTGGAAAAGGGTTTCCCGACTTTCTCTCATTTACCAGATTTCTCTCTACTTGCTATCTATTTGACAGTAGTCAGACAGAATTGGAAGATGGGAAAAAAAAACTCCCTACTTCCTGTCTATTTGACAGATGTCAGACAGAACAGGAAGATAGGAGAAATTCCACAGTCCCCCTCCCAGGCAGCAATAAATACAGATGCTCTAGTAGTGTGAGGAAGGTTGAGACCCTCAATCAAGATTCTCTTTTGTTTGGCAAAACAGAAAAAACGTACAATGCTCATTAAAGCTGAAATTTAATCTGCTTCTATTTTGCATTACCTAGTACCTCCCCAGTCCCCTCATTGGCATGATAATTAAATTTTAGATAAAACCTTCTGTTTTCATTACAACCCCTATTTTAAATCAAGTGATGTAACCAGAGGAAATTATTCCAAGACCTCACCATCCCTATTATACACTGTAAACTTTTATTCAAATTCAAAAGATGGGACTATCCTGGCACCAAAAATACAGATCAACAATATCAGATAAATTAAAAGGTGTAAGGGTTTATTACAATGAATTTAATATATAGTAGATGATATAGTAGACATGCATAAATAAAATCATATAGGCCATATAGTGTAACATGTACACAAAAGTTAAAGTAAATCCACAAACCAGCAAAGCACACTATAAGGCCCAGCTTTCAAAGTCCAATTTCAAAGCATCAGTCAGATCAGAAGGATGATCAGGAGACATCTAATAAGAGGGTCCTGCAGTTTCCAGGGGAGATCTGGGATGATCCAAAGCAGCTCAAAGAACAGGAGCGCATGATCTTCATTAGCATGACAGTAATCATTGATTAACCACTTCCACGCCACCCTATAGCAGAAATACTGCTACAGGGTGGCACGGCTGCACACAATCACGTATATACTGTACATGTGATTTTGCAGTTCTGAGTAGGGGACTGCCATTCGCGGCTTCTGCTGTCAATCACCGGGTCCCGGCCGGTGATTCCCCGCCGGAACCCGGTGATCTCCGACTGTGGGAGAGACCTGTATGTAAATAATACAGATCTCTCCCCTGTCAGCTCCTGCACACTGCTTTGTATTGCTCTGCATAGCAGAGCAATACAAAGCAGTGTGTTTACAGTGAAACAAACACACAGCCCACATAGTAAAACAGCACACAGTTAACCCTTTGATCCTGCCCAGTGTCATTAGTACAGTGTCAGTGCTTTTTATTAGCACTGATCACTGTATTAATGTCACTGTTGATGTCAGTAACAGTAAGTTCCCCCCCAGTGTCAGAATGCCTGCCACAGTCCCGCAGTCCCACTATAAGTTACTTTCATGTAAACCAATTAGTTTACACGTTTTGGAATTTTTTTTTTAGCAGAGACATGTAGCAGAATACATTTTGGCCTACGTTTATGATGAATATTATTTTTTTTTATTTTTTTACTGGACATGTTTAATTGCAAAAAGTAAAAGATATAAGGTTTTTTCAAAATTGTCGTTTTCTTTTTTTTATAGCACAAAAAATAGAACATGCAGATGTAATCAAATATCACTGAAAGAAAGCTCTATTTGTGGGGAAAAAAAGGACATAAATTTAATTCTGGTGCAGTGTTGCATGAACGCCCAATTGTCAGTTAAAGTAACGCAGCGCCATATCACAAAAAATGGCCTGGTCAGGAAAGGGGTAAATCCTCTCGAGGGCAAGTGGTTAAAAGAAAAAAGCACGCTTCCAGTTAAAATTCTTGAAAATCAGCATAGTTGGTAGGAATCACCAAGATGGAGACAAAGCAAGGCAGGTGCAGGAATGGCAGCTCCAGTTTTGCTAGCCAACATCACAGGGAGTAGCTCTGACAGCTATCAAAAAGACCACCAATAAACAGCATCCTGTGCCACTACCTAATGATTAACAGTGACCTCTATGTACTGGTGGAAAGAGGGGGTGGTAACATGTTTTGATGTTTTTCAAACCTCTGGTTTCCAAGAATTTTAACTGTAAGTGTGCTTTTTTTTTATATTGCTATTTGATTTTGATATTTTGATGATTACTGTCATATTAATGAGGATCCCACACTCCTGTTTTCTTGTTGTAAACAAAAGTGGGAAAACACCTTCAACCCAAACTCCCTTCTTGGGAAGCCAAGTTGCGAGGTATGTGCCTTTGGTTGTTCACAGCCTGGCTCAGGAGAAAGCACACAAGTGCGCTCCAATGGAAAGAATCCTATGATGGCACACAGAGAAGAGGAGCCAGAGTGTAAACTGTGCTCCCATTGGAGAGATTTGCCACGTCTATTTGCCCTGATGACCATTGTCACTGTGAAACAGAATCCCAAATTATGAGTTGGGTCCAGAACAGGAATAGAAGGGAAATTTTCCAGGGTCACTGGTTCTGGTGACCCTGGTGACAACAAGGTATTTCCCTTATTTCGGGGGGAATTCCTCTTGCTTTCTGTTGTGGGACAGGATGTGAAGGCAAATCTCTCCAATGAGACACAGAGGGTAAACAAATGGCAAAGGGTTTAACCCTTGCTTACTCTATCCAAGATTTACTTTTACTTTAAGTTTTTAACTGTCTTTATACTATGTGAGTGTTTTTGATTTTACTTTTCTGACTCATTTTCTATATTTACATTAAAAATACATTTAGATATATTACCTCTCATAAAAATATGCTCTAGGAGTACCGCAGAAACATGGACAAAGCAGGGCTAATCCGATCAGCACATATTCACATAGCAGGATTCCAAAAGCAAATAAATAAAGATCCTTGTCACATTGTCCTTCATATTCTTTGTATATCTTAAAGACCCAGACACTACCTAAATTTGGAAAAAAGTAAAGTAGTTCGTAAAATGAATACAGCCTAAATAAACATAAGCACACAAACACAGTCTGGATATCTAGCTTAAGAATTTTCGTTCCTTATGTGATTGGATCACCTACATCATGTAGCAAGCATTCTGATGCCTGTTCTTTCATTTTTTATAATGTTATTGTTATCTGTCATTCTCTTGTAATTGCAATCCCTATTTTATTTGTGCTTATATCTGTAACCATTTCAAGCAGAAAAACATCACATTATTATTTTACACCTCAAGTGAATTGTAAATACCTTATTTGACTTTTTACTATTCATACTCAATGCAGCTTCACTTTTTACCTTTCTACTATCCATGTTTGATTCCTTAAGTTTATTGCATATATTGGGATCTTGCTGACTTTGGAATTTAGCTATGAACACCTGTTAACTGAGCTAATTTTGCTTTAATGTGGAACTCCAGGTTTTCCCTCCCCTCCTGCCATGCACCGAATGGGCAAAATGCAGATTTGCCCTTTTTCTTGAAGAAAGCTGCTAGCACTGGATTTAGGAGAATATTGGGGACAGCATGGGAACATGGAGAAGGGTTTTCTGATTAACAAAGTTAACAAAAGCCAATTTGCAGTGCTTGGTTTTTAGACAGGATATTACATTGTTTAAAATGGTTGATTCATTATAAACTGGTCATAGTCTTAAAGGAGTATTTAGAAATGCAAGCACAGTTCAACTGCTTTCAGGCAGAAAGAAGGTGAGAGCTTCACAAACTTAAGTGACTGACTCAGCACAGCATGCAAGTTAAATTTATGGAGAGACGAAAGGCAGAAGGATGGAACAAAAAGAATGACAGTCCACTCCAATGCATCCTATACCTCACAGAACAGTCAGCCAAAGTTTTCACAAGGTACATGAGATTGTTTTGTAACCTGGGCTGTAGCTGATAACTGCTGCAAAACTTCTTCCTTTGTTGCTGCTGTATTATCCTTCTGCAGTGAGGACAGTATTAAAATGAATAATCATTATTGCAGAAGTGCAGCAGTCATCTTAAAAGAAATCACTTTGCAATGCTTATCTCTACTTTAAAGTGCAGGGGGCTGCCATCTTGGCTGGGTCTGATCCAGATAAATAGATTTTCTAGCTCTCTCTTCTCTTAGGCTATGCTTGGCCTAACAAATTATTTGAAATGCCTCAAGGTCAGTCAATAAGTGCAGGGCGAGCGAGGTGTGTCATCTTTAGGTTTGCAGCAGAATCACAAAACAATTCAGCCACTCCTCTGGGGGTAGTGCTATCAGTGGGGGTTTGTCCATAGATTTGATAGAGGGTATAGGGACTAAGAAGCTCTGCTATGATCATTCTCATTCAAGCTTGAATTTGGTCCCCCAATAGTGGGGAAGAACACTGACTTGGTCCTAAGGTTAGTCAATTCCCTTGTTTCAGAGTTTAATGCCTCTTCTGAAATTGTACATACCATGCTATGTTTGGTTCAAGAGCAGAAGACCTCAGCTGAAGAAGTGGGAAAGCTATGGAAGTTTGACAAGACATAAAAGATTTTGCAGCCAGGTGAAATAATGTGTTTGCGGCTTTATTCAAATTGAATTGAGATCAACCCAGTCCTTAGGTTACTCCTGAGGGTGGGCCACAGGGTGAATATTCAGGTTTTGAATTGACCCCAGAAGTAGCTTCAATGAAGTTTCTACAGAGAACTCCTGGGAAAGTTCCTGTCAATGTGCACAGTATTATTGATTATTGTTTTCAAAAGCTAGCCCTATTCATATGCTAAGTAATTTGTTGGTTTGGTTCATGCTACAGGAAGTGATGGTGGCAGGAAGTAGGGGGAGGGAACAAAGAACTTGTTCTGAACAAAAGGAAGCAAGAGTAGTTTTGCAGAACTCAAAGCAGTCTGGAAGAGATCCTGGATCCTGGAAGATGACTCCATCATAGAAAAAGACCAAAAATAGGAACGTTGCCTGAGGATGACACTAAATCTACAACCCAAGTAACTTTTAGTGTATCCCTCTTGCATACATTATCTATACTTATTTTGCTGGGAAGGATAGATAGCTTGTGCATGTGTATATTGTATGCATATTTTGTGATATTTTGTATTCCATGAATTGTTTTTTCTGTAGTTGTATGTGCAGCTGGGTTTTCACAGGACCTCCTTCTATCTTGCTCCCTGGTCTCCTCCTCACACGCACGTCTACAAGACTTCTCCAGGTCCTCCCCCATCCTCTGGAACTCACTACCCCAATCCATCAGACTGTCACCTTCCCTCCTCACCTTCAGGCGCTCCCTGAAAACCCACCTCTTCAGGGAAGCCTACCCCACCCTCACCTAACTGCTGCTCTCCTTCATTCCTCCTACCACTCCATCCCCCACAGCCACTTCCTCCTGTACCACTACCCCCTCCCTCCTAGATTGTAAGCTCGAAAGAGTAGGGCCCTATAACCCCTCGTGTGCTGCTTGTAGGTGCTGTAATGTTTCATGTATTGTCCACCCCTCTATTGAATAGCGCTGAGCAAACCCTTTGGCGCTATATAAACTAGATGTAATGTAATGTAATGCAGCGTTTTTATTTTGTTTAGTAAAGCATTAATACAAGACAGAAGTTTTTTTATACTTCCTTGCTTTTGCCGCAAAGAACCTTAAAAAGACAAAGTAAAACAACCATGGCACCACTATTTTAATAGACTCTGCAATGTCTATTGGGGGCCAAAAGGTTCAGCGTGTTGAATATTAGAAGCGGGTACTATCAGATCCCCATGCAGCCTGACAATTGTGAGAAAACTGCTGTTACTGTATTTGCCCGGTGTGGTTCTTTGAGTTTAACTGGATGCCACAAAGTCAAACAGGAAGTGAAGTGGGCTATTGTGGACAAGATAAAACAATACTTGTACAAGGCAGAATCTGAGGTTAAAACAGATAACAATCCACTTACATATGTTCTTACCATGGCCAAACTGGATGCTACTGGGACACTGATGGTTGGTGTTACTGTGTTGGATCCGTTTCAGTTTGAACTACCACCCTGGAGTTGGGAATAGGGACACTGATGCTCTGTCAAGAAAACCCTATAACTAGAAGACTCCTAAGGATGAGTTGACTCAATTGAATTCAGAAGCACTCCAAGCTTTGTGTCAAGAAATTGAGTACACTGCCAAAGGGACAAAAGAGGCCAAAGCCATCGAAGTCACCACTGCTGGCATCCCAAAGCTTTACTGCAACCTAACCCAGGTAAGGAATTAGTGTCTGTCTACTTTCTCCAAGAAAGACTTGAGGAAAGACCAAGCAGAAGATCCTCTCTGCTGTTTGACTTTGAAAGCCTTGGGGGAATGGTTGACAAGAGCTTCTACTAGCCACAGAAGGAAGCTTGACTAGTTCACAAAGAGTGGGATTGTTTACAATTGCTGGATGGGGTGGGGCCCTTCAGATGAGCCCTAAAAATGATGACAACTGTAACTTCCCAACAAACAGAGGGACAGTGCTGAAAGTGTTACAGTACATAATGAATATGGACATTTGGGATGTGACAGAAAGTTCAGGTTAGTTAGTAATCATTTCTACTAGCCGTATATGCAGCCCGAAGTTGAAAGAAATTGTAACTCCTCTCTCCGCTGCATTCAGAGGAAGACTCTGCCCTCCAAAGCTGCCCCATGGAACACCTCCAGAGTCAAGGTCCCATGGATTTGGTGTGTATTAAATTCTTGAGCATTGATCCCAACACAAGTAGTTAAGGGAATGCCTATGGGGAACATGTCAGGCGGATGTGACGTCAGATGCAACTGGAAGTACCGCAATGGCCATTTTAGAATTGGTTGAACAAGGCTGTTTGTACCTTACATTCATGTAAGTGCAATTTGTATTATTAAATTGATCTTTTAAATACTGCTGCACTATGGGAGCGTGTTTTCTCTTATGATCACTGAGAGCATATGAAGAACTGGGGAGGAGACTGAACACACTGATTACATATTTTGAAGCAATTTACAAGACATGCAGGGCAAGGTGCATGCCTGAAGAGGACGGGATCAAGCACATTGGATTTGTTTTGCACACAGGTGGTGGATGGAGCATGGTCACATGTGTAATTGTGGATGCTATTCACAGCTTACGGAGTGAAATGCACATTTTTCACCCTAAGAGGGTAAAGATATTTAGGGCATAAGTGATGGACATTATTTGTTTATATTTCAATATTTTTATTGAAAAACTGTAGGAAGTGTATACAGAAAAATAGGAAACATAGCCCACCTACATGGTGAGTTGTGGCAAATAAACAGATTCATAGAGTATATAGGCACATAAGAATACAGCAACCAATGATGTTGTAAACAAGAGAACACAACCCCAGTAGGGTAGAACATATTCCATCGGTCAGTAAACCTGGGCAGTTTCAGATAGTCATCTGACAAAATAAGAAGACCGAAAAAATTGAACAAAAAAATCAAAGAGGAGAGTAATCAATACAATGAAAAAAAAAAAAGAGAAGAAAGAAGGAAAGAAAAGAGAGAAGAGAAAAAGAAGAGGGCCATCCAGAAGTCAGAGAAGTGTATCATTTATCATAATCCAATCAAGTTTCTGTTTGACCGTGTCAGCACCTGTGGTAGTGAGCTCTTATTGATCCTCAACTTGGGGTTCCCCAGGGTGCGGAGTCTAAGCCCCAACCTGCTTGTTCACCAGAGCCCCTGATGGTGGGGATGGATTTGCAGCAAGCTGGGACCAGGTACACCCAGCTGAGGTTGAGAAGACCGCTCATGGGAGCAGAGTATAAAGGGAGGAGACAAATGGAATCCGATAGGCAAGCCGAGGTCAGGACAGGCGGAAAACAAGCAAGGTCAGAGAAAGAAGCCGGGGTTGGTACATGAGTAGACAATGTAGGATTCAGACAGTAGTAACAAACGGGATCTCCAACAACTAGGAAGTTGCTCAGGTAAAGTTGCCTAGTCTGAGCATGTCTTACATAGATAGGCAAACAAAGTGGCGGGCCAGGAAGTTATGGAAAAG